TGAATTGGAAGGCCTTTCGGTGTAATATATATTCTCCAGTTCTCCACAGGCTCCAATACTCCTTATTATCTTATAGCAGGCTGTTTCACACATGTTGGCTACCCATCCGGTCCCGGAAGGCATTTATGTTTAACAACCTTTAAAGAAGACACTAATCTATTAAATCCACTTAAGCTAGCACTACAGGGGGACACGGCTGGTCTCAGAATTATAGCACACTCTAAGCAGCCCTTATTGGAAATATTTTTGCATATCTGTCACACACAGACCCTGGGCTGCTATGATGACGATGAAAAGAGTGCAGCTGCCCAAACCCGTAGTCTTATTCATTACCCACCAGAGGCCAAATTATTTACATGTATAACAGTTCATTTGAAATACATTTACCAAGCAGCATCATCAATTTCTTCAGATACAAAAGAGTTTCATTTAAATGGTTCTCAGGGCGTAGAAATCATTGCCCCCATAAAACAGCAAAGATAGCTGCCTTCTCAAAACTGAGCATTATTAAAATGTCAAAATAAATATCAGGCAGAAATACAGCAAGGGGAGGTGGTAGCTACAAGCAATAGCCTGGTCCCTCTAAAATCAGACCCAGAAGTTCAAAAGCAGCTGGGACAAGACAGAGTTTGGCGGTGCCCATTAGTCCTAGTGGAGGTTGTTTTCTTCCTTAGATTTGTTGACAGTGCCTCACAGAAAGTTATTAAGCATCTGCTTTCACAAGGCATGACTCTCTTTTTTATCAGTGCTTAAATTCACTAAACAAGGAAAAGCAGGCACTATGTAAACAGAGTCATTAATAATATAAATCTCACCTAGAGTAAAAGAATAATATGGCCTGTCTCACTGGTCTATATAAAGCAATTTTTGTGGTTTTCCATTTGTCCTCTCTATGGATTTTTCTCCTTAGGTACATCTCATCTCATTTTATTCTAGGACTTCTTCAGGGGACTTAATGGGAACAACTTTGAGGAAGTCAGCTAACAATACCTTCGTTTCTCATCTGGACAGCTAAGAAGACTTGCTAACCACCACTGTCCCCCATCATTGGACTTTTTACCCTTCTAGTGAGACCTTAGCTCTACTCTCTTAGTCTCTGCAACTGGGTCATTAAATCGGGCTTCTAGCTTCAGCATATGGCTCGAGGGTCATTAATATGCATGACAGCTAATAGGTTATTTATTCCAGGGTTTACTTTGAAATTGCCTGGCTGAAATCTAACTATTTTCTTTCAAGACCATTTTTCAGCAGTTTTCCATTCACTTTGGTTTTCACTGAGGAATGAGATGTATTCTAAAAGTCAAAGAAAATTTTAGTGTCATTTCAGGAAAAATCATCCTAGCCTCCTCTTATCTTCCACATCACACTGTAAAAGCTTTCCAAATTTCTCTTTGGTCTGCAAAACACTGTTCAAAGTAAGTAGGCAATCTACAAAGTTGGAAAGAACTGGAACTGTAAGGCTTGTGAGAGAGAAAATCAAAGAGAGTTGGGGTGGGGCTCAGACAATACCAGGAAAAGAAAAACAAGGTCAGGCAAAACCATGGTGAGCCTCCACTCCTCTGCCCCAAATCACTGCTGCATTTAGAAGGGACTCAAATCTTCCAGGTAAAAGACTTTTGCAAGTTTACATTCTGTTTTTGTTTTTGTTTTAAACTGCAAGATTCCAGGCATGCTGGCTCCCTTGGAAGACTCTCAATCCTCCCTAACCTGTCCCCAGTCACTGCCCATATAGAGAGGAACGTCTCTGCTGGCCCTGTTCCCACACTGAATCCCCGACTCCAACCGTGAACTCAGAGCTCATACACACACACATAGATTTACCTTAAATCTATGTCTCCTACAAAGCTCCTTCTGTATCTCAATAAAGGTGGACACTGACTTTGGGTGTTCCGTATTTTTGTGGACTAGATAGAGTGTGAGCTCCTTGAAGCAAGTACTAACTTTTAGACTTTTCATATCCCTACTTCCTGGAACTTAAGGTTCTTTAGCCACTTAAAGAATATCTGTTGACTTGAACTGGTTTTTTCAGAAAAGCAGGCACATTCCAAAGAAAGGACAATGAAGAGAGAGGGAGAGAGGGAGGGGGAGAGGGAAGGAGGGAGGGAGAGAGGGAGAGAGGGAGAGAGAGAGAGAGAGAGAGAGAGAAATGTGATTAATGACCTAATGTTCTCTAATAGACAGAAGTGGTTTTAGCTGTTGGAACTATGGCACTCCACAGCCAGGGATACTAGAATCATGCTAAGGCAAGTGAGCTCCAGAAGAAAACTTGATCATCCTACAGATTTGTTGACCCTAATAAAATAGTTTTCAAAGTGCATGTATTTGATTTTTCTCATAAATATGAAAAAAGAAATGTAAAATAATGACATCCCAAAGGTGTTCATACCCCAATCCCCAGACCCAGTGAATACATTGCCCTTGTAGATATGATTAAGGGAAGATGATCGTGAATTATCCAGGTGGACCTAATGTGTCTCATCAGTCTTTAGAAGTAGAAGACCTTTCCCAGCTATAGTCAGTGAGAGAGAGATGTGAAAACGGAAGAAAAGTCAGAAAGATTCAACGTTGCTACTTGGAAAACGGAAGGCAAGAGCCATGAGCCAAGGAATGTGGGCAAGAAAATGGATCCTCCCCTGGAGTCTCCAAAAGGAACACAGCCCTGCCAACACCTTAATTTTAGTCCGATGAGAATGGTATTGAACTTCTAACCTTATGAAATTGTAAGATGACAAATTTGTATAGTTTTAAGTCATGCATGATCGGTAGCAACAGAAAATGAATACAAAAGGCAACCCTGGGCTTCAGCACCGCCCTTAACACTGGTGAGCAGACCTTCCCTGCTGAGCCCCAAACCAAAGAGACTTCTTATTTCAGCTGAAACCTTTCTTTTCCCCCTTTCCCTCTCTACTGCTTGGCTGACTTTTTGTCATCTTTCAACACTCCTTACAAACTTTCTCTTCTCTGAAAAATCTTGGTTTTATCTATGTAGGCTATAAATGTCTGAAATGTGGGGAACATATGTTCTTTGTACATGTTAGTTTGAATGACAGAATTAATTCATCATTTGATGGAGTGTAAAAATAAGGGACAATAAAACTCCTTTCTTGTCTCTTCTTTTAAGAAGAGAGCGAGATCACTCACTCACTAGACTCCACCTTCATTCACATTCATCGTCTTACCTTCCTCCTCCTCCTCCTCCTACTCCTCCTCTCTTTGGACACACACGCAACCTGGCAGAGTTAAATCCCAGGGTGTGGCTGTTTAGAGTCAGACAAGTAAGCAATACATTCATCCCTAATCAAAAGTATGAGCTGTTGGGGTCAAAGGCTGAAACCAGAATATTTCAAGGGAAATTTAAAAGGCATGGAAAATGTTCCAAAATGTGGAATTTAAGCCCAAATCCAAGGTTTGAGAATTAAATTACAGCACTCATGTGTGATGGATAGTTTTAAAATACATCCACAAACACTTTGACAGTCCTTTTCCCCAAAAAGTGAAGCCTGATCACCGCCCCCCCCCCCCCGCCCTTTAAGTGTGGGCTGGAGTGAGCTTCTAAAAGAATATGAGCAAGTCAAAAGATGAGGTAATAAATGTTCATTGTTTGAATCCACTAAGTTGTGAGATTATTTGTTATGCAGTAAAATAGATGGTAAATATAGATGAGATATACTCCCTGGGACAAAGGTAAGAAATTGATAAGTCAAGAACCTGATTCTGTCTACAAATATATTTTCCCCAGCTCAAAATGGTAGATTTTTTTATGAGCCAAAACTTTAAAAGTCATTCAATTCTATCTGGAAATCTAGAAGGCCAGTCTCTCAAAAAGTCAGAGGTCTGGCCACACAGAGGCCTGCATCTTTGTCTGGCAGCCGTGAGCGGGAAGCAAGGACCAGCCCTCTGACGAAGAAGACTGATGCTCTCCCAGAGCCACTGCAGGCCCCACCAGCCCCAACTCAGGGCCGTGCTACCCCAACCTCGTGGCTTTTCACTGCTCTTCCTCTTTCGGTAGGGAAATATTTGCCAGTTCCCATATCTCTATCAAAAGTAGGAGGTAAGAGATATGCTGAAAGGCTATATGTCTTTGGAAATATAAGAAAAAACTTAATAGTGGCAGCAAAGAATATTCTTGCATACCTACTATGACATCAATGTGTATCTGTCAAATACAACTTGAGATCCCATTTTTTCTTCCTCAAGTAGATTTGCTCATTTAGGCTACCTGACTAGCCCTCGTAGGTAAGGGAGTTCGTTAAACCAACTCTTTCTTACCCTCGGCTCCTTAAAAATAGGCTAAGATAAGTCACATGAATTTGACAGATCTGGCTCTTCAGCATCTTAAAGGTAGCTGTCAATATTATACCTTTACTCTCATATTGCATATTTTGAGAAGAACCTCTCTGAGACCATTGCATCTATTAAATGTTTTTCTGGTTTTGTACATATCATAATTGTTTAGCCTGAGCTTCTAATTGCTGACTCAAACTGGGTCTGACCACAACCATAGCAATTAGTCAAAGCCGTAATCCCAAACACAATAATAAATGTATGCCTTTTACTATTATTAATATTTCTAGGAAATTAACACTGAACTAAAATGAGTCAGCAAACTATAGCATCAGGCCAAATCTGGCCCACCACCAGCTTTTTGTAAATAAAGTTTTATTAGACCACAGCCATATTCATTCATTTACATATCATCTGTGGCTGCTTTTGCATCATAGTCACTGAGCTGAGTAGTTGTGATGAATACCTCATGAGCTGTAAGGCTACAATACATACTATTTAGCCGACCCCTGAATGAGAAGAATAAAATACTAGTATTTGGATGGTTAACAAGCCAAAAATACACTCTTCAAAAAAACACAACATGGGAAAAGATAAAGTCACCATGCCGTATCCAGAATGTCTGCCTTAAAATTCATAATTGATGAGGCTAGAGTTTTCTCTGCCTTACAAATGGACATAAGAAGAACAGTTTTTTAAGCTGAAAATAAACTGACCGTGGCTAGTTTCTGCACGTCTTCATCTGATGCTCCCAGAGATGCCAGGCCTATTTCCTGGGAAAACTGAGCAAATTTAGGATCTGCAAGCAGTGGAACATGTCCCAGGAGCTCGTGACACGTGTCTCTGACAAGAAAAACATCACAAAGAAATGTTACACTAGAAGTTTTAAACTACCACTGGTAGAACAAGACTTAAAATCCTTAATGTAAACTTGTTACTCTAATTATTGTTGATTTAATCAATTCTAAGACTTTTCATCACATTTTAACAACTCTGAAATACAGATGTACCTTATAATCAGTGGCATCTTAAATTATGATATGTAACATTTTAATAAAATAATAGCAACTACTATTTTCAAGTGCTTACTTTATACCAAGCACATGATAAGTGTTTTATCACATACATTATCTCTTTTTAATCCTCAAAAGACACTTATAGGATTAAAGTAACTTACTAGTACAAGATCCTGTATATCAGGGGTGAGCAAACTACAACCACAGACTGAATCTGGCCCACTGCCTGTTTTTGTAAATAAAGTTCTGTTAGAACACAGCCATACCCATTCATTTCTGTATTGTCTGGGGCCTCTTTTGACTATAACAGCAGAGTTGAGTAGTTGTAAGTGAGATCATATGGCCCACAAAGCCTAAGATATTTCCTAGCTGGCTCTATATAGAAAAATTTTCTGACTCTTGCTATAGATAGTGATAAAAAATTTGACTCCAGCTTTTCATGATTCCTAAACTCTTGCTCTTAACCCTTCAGTTAAAATGCATTTCATGTTATCCATTGCTAGCCACCAGGAAACAGCAGAAGATTGCATCATTATCCAAGCAGCCTTTCCCACAGACAAGTTATCTGCCTACAACACAAGCAATCCCTTGACCCTCCTAGTCTTCTGCTTTGGTTAGCCAGAACTAGATAACAACACAAGCTTAGAGCCTCGCTCATCTGCCTGAGTTTCCATTTGGGCCAGATGACAGGCAAAGGCAGTACGTGTCACAATTTAGCGAGGCAGATGACTTACTGAGTCATTTCCATGAATCACAAACTGTTCCCTGACACCAAGCTCTCTTGGAATGATGTACCCTATGACTCTCTGGGAATGGATCAAGAGGCAGCAATATTTTTTCTTTACAAAAACCAATTAGCCAGGCAGTAATTGAAAGATGTTTCCTGATTTTACCTGGCTTCTCTGAAGTGTATCACATCAAACAGGTGCTATAATATAAATGCCAGGTGCTACCATCATTATTACAAGTATAAAGTAGGTTGGATGGTCATGTGGTTGAAGCAAGTGAATGGTGGTCAAAGGCACAAGACAGATGCCACCATAAAACAGATGGCATTACTCAATCAAAAAATCTTGTCCTACAACTAATACCACTTCCCCAACATCGGCCAGCCACTTCACAGACACATCAAGTTGAAAGAGTGGCCAAATGAGATACGTGAACGTGATACTAAAAGAAACTCCAAATTCATTCCCTGTCAACTGTGTGCTAATAGCTTCCTTCTTGCACATAAACTGAATTTGTAAAGGATGATATGTGCTGCTGTTGTTGTTTTTGTTCCCAATCATAATGCTTAAGGCAAAGAATGAGACTCAGTGATTAGGGGAACTTAAAAGATATCCAAGCTCCTCATTGTACACATGAAGAAATTAAAGACAGCAATTTTTAAAAAAGCTAACATATACTGCACTGTTATTGTGTGCAGGGTACTGTACTAAATGTTTTCATATCACATCATTATTTTAATCTTTGCTTACAAAGAATTCTTACTATTCCCAGCTGACAAATGGGAAGCTAACAGTCAGTAAATTTAAGCATCCTTTCCAAGGCCCCTCTGTTAATAAGAGATAGAGACAAGGTTTGAAATCAGATTTATCTATTATTTTCACTTGTACTGCTCTAATGTTTTAGCATGTATTTTTGGTGGGCCTTAGGTTGTGAGGAAGAGAGTTCAACCAAGTTAGTTAGCAAAGTAAAATGTAGTCAGTATGTCCGAAGTCTCTTTCATGGCCATTCAGTGGTCTTCAACCCTCCATATTACTTGAGGAGCCTTTTTAAAAATATCAGTGGGTGGGTTCTACCTAACGCCAATTCAGTCTGACTTTTTGGGATAGACCTGGGCATCTGTATTTTTCAAAAAGCTCTGTGGGTGATGATACAATACAGCTACAATGGAGACCCAGTTCACAACTAATGATGCTAGGAGCTCTGCTAGCCTTGTTTAAGCAACTAGTACTTGAAGCTGAAGCTGAATGTGATTATGCAATTTTGAGCAGCTCAAGTTTAATTCCACTGGAACCATATCATTAATACTGAAGAAAGATGAAAGGAGGTGATAGAAATGTCACTAGGTAGCTAATTTTTCCTCCATCTGCATTCAATTCTGTTGCAAATCTAATACTTCCATACTAGGAGTGGACCCTACAGACTCACTCGTTTGATCAGTTTTTTTAAAAGGTCATGCACTCTGCACCCCTGCTGGAATTAGGATCAAGTGGCCCACCATGGATAAATCTGAATACCCCCACTGTAGCCTATGATGTAAATACTAAAGCACCCCACTGATTCAGGCAAAAAATGTGACAACAATAATTCCAAAATTAGACAAGATGTCAAACACTAGGGAAATACTGAAGATGACATTGGGTCATGGTATAAGTAAGCAAGGTGAACAGAAACAAAAACAACTTTTGTGGCTAACAAATATTAAGTGCTTGCTATCGGTCGGACTCAGTGCTGAGTGCTTCATAATGTGAGAATAGGGAAGGTCATGGCTACTGTGCTGGTAAATTCTTGGTGCAATACTGGATTTACTGTTGAGCTTGTTAAACATTTGGGGAAGGCTGCTGCAGAAAAAGTCTTCTATCTGCCTAGGTCCTGATGGAATCTAAAGGTTAGAAAGGAAAGTGAAAAGCTGGCAATTGAAAAGAGGAAGGGAAATACAGGAGATCCAAAGACATTAAGGAGTTAATTCTCTGTGGTAGAAAAAGAGCTGTCACCTAGATTTTAAGTTAAAGTACCATTATCAGAAACCTATACCAATTTAAGAATCCTTGATAGTATTATAATGACAAGGTAATCCAACTATACATCGAAAAAGAAAAGAAGAATTATAAATTTGAAAGAAAAAAATCATACAACCTAGCAGCTTAAATTATATTGTTTCATTAAGAATGAAAGCCTAGCCTTGGCCACCAAGGTGGCTTATTTGGTTGGAGTGTTGTCCCATGCACCAAAAGATCATGGGTTTGATCCCAGATCAGGCTCTCTCTCTCTTTCTCTGTCAAACTCCCCACCCCCGCCCTTCCTCTCTAAAAAATAAAATAAAAACATATCGTCTGGTGAGGATTAAAACAAAAGAATGAGAATGAAACCCTGAAGCAAGATGGTCTAACAGAAGCATGAATGGCATGTGAGGGGGTGCCCTTTGCCCCATTATAAGTAGAAATGGTCACTCTGTATTTCATGAGTCTGTGCCCACTTCTCAGCTCTGTCTCCCTGCAGAGAACCCAAGGAAGAATTGCTGCAGAGACTCCTGAGCAAGTGCAGAAGCACTGCATACAGCAACTCACTTCTCCTTGAGCCATGGCTTGAAGCACCTAATATTTCAAGACCAGAAAGAAGGTTACTATCTTTTATGACATTAGTGGAGCATGCTCGGAAACACCAGATGGTTCTCCACCCCAGTGTCTTCTACTAATGCACTGGTAGTAGACAAAGGAAACTGAAATAGAAAGATCTTTAACATTATTAATAGAAGTGATTAATTAATTTTGAAAAGTTGACACTTTCTTGAGTTTCCTTCAGGCTGGAGGACTTAGAAGCTGGGTTGACTACAACTCTCTAGGGCTAAAAGAGGTTCCAGACTACGGGGAGCCCAGGCAAGAAGACTAAGCCTTCTCTCCAACTTTTGTATCAATTAAGTTCTGTTGGGCTGACAGCATGCCATTTTGCCTTATTTTACAAAGTGCAAAAGTTATTATGTCCAGCAGTTAGAGCAGTTCCCCTGCATTGGTTATGGCATCCACAACTGGACCTGAGCACCTACTTATGCACAGGTTTCCGATGAAATTCCACAGCTATCGTCTTATCTCACCAGACCTCTCTTAAAAGATTCGACTATTTGGCTATAATTGCACCTGTCAGCACATGCTGCCTCCAATCTCTACATCAGCAAACTTTTCTCTTTTTAACTCACATTCCTTTGATGCATTTTCACCTGAATAATGCTTTTCAGAGCCCTTTCACAAAAGCACTCTGTTCACTAGAAATGTAAGACCTTTCAAAGCCGTTAACACTGTAAAACATCATGTCTCCTTGTGGGGGGAAAAAAAGAAGAGTGAATGAAAAGCTCAAGCTGATATCAGGCACTAAACTGTGGCTGCTCTGAATTGGAATCTTCTCTGACATGCACTGTTAGAAGGACTCTAAAAGGCCTGCTGAAATGGGCCTACAAAGGGCCTGGGCAACAAGCCTCCAGGGAATTCTTAAATCATTCCAAGAAAGTCGCCATCATTTTGCTGCACGGAGGAACAAGGATCCTGGTAGTTAAATTCAAATTCAAAATGAGTCCAGCATTTTTTCCCCCTCTTATCAGTTTTCAAAGCTGACTGCTTGTGTTACATGTTGGACAACTCATTTTTATTCCCGCTGTGAATTAAAGCCTTTAAGAAGCAGTGAGTGAGCATCCAACATTTGCTCCCCATCCCAAATCAGCGCATCTGTCTTTTAAACCATATTTCTGTAGGTTTTGTTTGTTCTAAATGACACAGAAGCCAACACTTTAGCTAAATCACAAAGCAAAGGAAAGGAAGATGAGTGGGCGTGGTGGAGCATTTGCATTGATGAAAAGAAGCAGGAGGATGAGCTGGAAGCCAAAATAGGGCTTTTTTTCCGCTGTCATACAACATTTGGTGGGTTAGTGCAAGTCATCTGGGATAACACACCAGGATGTGTTGAAAAGAGGGTGACTAGGTTTGTCTTCCCTGCACTAAGGAGATGATACAAGGAATTAATTTAGTAATGAGGCGATTTTTTTTTTCAGTGCTCACTTTGGAGCTGTATGCAGAGTTTCTGCAGTTTAGATTGAAAATAGCTTTCTGTATA